CAACAAATATGTGACTTCATATCCGCGGTCAATGCTTCCTTGGCGAGAGCAAATGCTTCCTCGGTTTTGCTCTGGCTGTTAAGGATCAGGGCTTTCATGGCCATTGTGTCTCCATGCTTCGGGTTCTTTTTCAAAATGAGATCTGCAGTTTTAAGTCCACGCTTGTATTGTTTGTCTTCATAGCTGCGGATGACTTGTCGGAACTGCGCCGCTTCCTTCGGCGCAAGTTGCTGCGGCATGGTGACGGTGATCTGTGTTACTTTTTCGGAGGATGGGAGTTTCGGCACAGACGGGAGAGAGTTTGCGGTTGTTCAATACTATACGCGATCTTGAAATTAGAGATTGACCCGACTGAAAATTGGTTCCAGGAATGCTTTCTGGTTTAGTAGCTACTGACGTATGAGCAACGAAACCGGTGGACGGGCGCTGGGGGTATGGTGGCCGACAGAGTGAGTTGGCCAACATCAACTGATGGCATGTGATTAAAATAGTATCACAATTGTTTCTGTGCCGACCGAAGAACGGGAATGTGCCCTGGCGATATGCAACTGCCGTCAAATGGTGCGATAGCGGACAGGCAGATCTTATTGCTGCGGTGGTAAGAAGACCAAGCTTTTTGGCTCTGAAATCGGCGGATCTTCGGATGAGTCTGGTGTTTGTTTTAACAGCTCCAGGACGGAGTACATGCTTAAAGTTGTGTGGGCAGGTGGAAGTGGGCGAGACAGGTGGGGGTTCTTAACCAAAATGCAGCACACACACATCGACGAGCACTCGGGTCACTGGTGGCTACTCCAATATTGAATATTATTAGTCCCTGGCAAGATACTTAACTTACTTTAGTACTTACTTAAGTAAGTAGGTACCTACCTACTTAAGTACTTAGAGATAGGTTCCTACGGTGTAGTGGTGTCTGGTACGCTAGCACGAGCATTTTGCACCTCGTCAATTATTAATCGAGTCAATACTTATCTACGGTACTTTGCGTGTTATAGCTTAAACCTACTGACTTTGTGCCGGTGACTCACGCCGAAACCCAAAATGGCACACACATTGCGCCCTGTTATACATGAGATCTTTAACAAAAATTATGTTTTTTTGAATGCAGGCTTGATGCAGTAGCCAAAGTCATCTCTTTCAGATCAAGCCGCTGGGTCAATTACTCCTAGAACCATCATCAAACCCACATGTCCTCATAGCGTCTTGCCAGGTATCGTGAGGAGAATAATTGCATCGCTCCTGAACAACACTCCAAGTACGGTTGCGTATTATTTCTTCGACGCCACGCTCTTGGCGGACGAGGCTGGCCAGAATCCGGGTTCGAGGTTCTCGGAGAACGAATCGGCTCGAATATGGATCTAGTCGCTCGTCTACGACTCTTTCACGATTCTTCTGCTCTTCAATGACTCGTAGGGTTGCCTCTGGGTCATCAGGATCAGGGCTAGCCGCAATAAGTGCGCAGTAATTCAATACCTCAGTTCTGGCCTGCCAGGCTGGAAAAAGCACCGCCGTCTTGAATGATTTGCAAGCCTCAGAGCCTATAGGTCGTGAGCCGGAAGCAGGAGTTCTCTGAGACGTTGAGCTCGGGTCGAATCCAGCATGTGAAGGCGTAACCAACGCATTCAGGTTCTCTGTGATGGTATCGTCGACAGCCGATCTCGAGAGACGAAGAAAGTCTGCAAGCCGGTCAGCAGAGACTACTATTGACGGTATACGCATACGAAGAGATGGAATATACCACGAAGAGCCCCCGACGAGAAGCACAGTTGTGGCGATAGGCTTGGTCGATGTGGGAGCTCAGTCATAATGTGTGGTTGACGCGGTTGTACTGCCTGCGCGGCAGCTACGAGAGCGTTGCCGTTCGAGGCGGCCGATGTAGATTTCCAAAAGATATCCAGTTTGTACGGCAAGTCACGAGGTCGTTAAATGAAAGACTCCAATTTTTGGGCGTAGTTATATACGAAGCATACCTCCAAGGTACGTTGGTTATGTCGCCGAAGTTCTCTAAAGGCGAGTAGAGGTTGGAAAGTGATGGTAAAGCGTGTAGGTACCTTAATCAGCCGCCATGTCCGGAGGAGGCGCATATTGATTATTAAGTTCCCACCACCTGCAGGGACTTGCCTCCATGTACCGTCTGGTACTTGAGTAGTAGTGCCTGTTATTTGGTGCCTAAATAAAGTGGAGTTGTGCAGTATGATACTTAACGTTGTTGGCAGCTTTGTGACTGGCCAGAGACTGTCTTGCATCCTCTGAATTTCGTGAGCTGAAGAAGAGCTGGCTTCTAATGACCAGTGGATTCTTGTACCAGCGGCGAGTTGTCCTGACTCCTCAAAACTGGCTGACGCGCTGCCCAGCTTAACTACAAATTTATACATAAACCTACTTACCTACTAGGCAGGTAGGCAGCAGTAAATCTCTATTGAAACCAAAGACAAATTAGAAGTTCCTGGTCAAATATTGAAAACATTGGTTAGACTTTCGGCATTATCGTAGGTGCACTGGCAATTGGTACAAACTAGGAGTAGCTGAGATCTGCGGCAGGAACGGGGTGGCTTTTGTGAAGCTAAGAACATTAGAACTGGATGACGACAGTGGGGGGAGCGGGAGCGGGGCAAAACTGCTCTGCGGCCAATGGACAGAGCAGTGTCGCGTGTGGCCAGCCACTACACAAACTTACAGGGCACTACATACATACGTGCGTGATCCAAGGCAAACTGGTCATGCTGAGGTTTCCAAAAGCCGTTTGTCGTGTTATTTCTTTATCGATAGGGCGCAAAGCAACATTTTCTTGTTCGTCTAACCTAAAACCTATGGCAAGATATATATGAGCCTATCGCTAAGCATACATTGGCATCATACACTATATTATCGTACGTGATACGTTGCCCAAACGCACTGTTTTGGCTAAAGACAGTTTCCCTCCCCCACTCTCTGGACGCATAGACTGACATGACCGACGAATCGTCTTGACTTGTGCCGACTAGTACAATAAAGTGCCTGATTCCGCATAACCCTTGACAACAAGATTCCACCAACGCCACGATTTTGCCGTTCTACATGACTTGCTGGCAGATCCGTCACTCCATCATCGCCTACGCCAGCTACCACTCATCTCATTCAACCCACTTCTGTTGAATTCAAGTTTGGCGGACCGACTTTTGCCTCTCTTTGTGAACCGCCATGTCGTCTTCTGGATCCACGGCTGCGGCGCAAGCCAGTAGTGGAAGCTGGTCAGCCTTCCTGAAGGTACGGGAACACTACATCATTTGTCCTATGAACGCGGCACCCAGGACCCCTAGCTGACACGGTTTTCCATTAAGTCAATCGCCTCCTTTAACGGGGATCTTTCGTCTCTCACTGCGCCGCCGTTCATCTTGTCGTCCCAATCTCTGACCGAATTCTCATCATATTGGGCAACCCATCCGCCCATCTTCACCGCTCCTGCTGCTGAAGCCGACCCCGCCAGGCGCGCTGTTCTCGTGTTGAAATGGTTTCTTTCAACACTTAAACATCAATATGCCAGTAGAAGCGAACAGTTTGGGAACGAAAAGAAGCCTTTGAACCCGTTTCTTGGCGAGCTGTTCCTAGGCACTTGGACTGACGAAGCTGGCGAGACCACGCTCATTTCGGAACAAGTCAGCCACCATCCTCCCGCGACTGCGTATTGCATCCGCAACGACAAGACTGGGGTTCAGCTGGAAGGATACAATGCCCAAAAGGCCACGTTTAAAAGCACCATCATTGTAAAGCAAATTGGTCACGCCGTGCTGACAATCCCGGTTGGACCTCGTGATAAACAAGAGCATGAACATTATCTAATCACACTTCCATCTCTTCATATCGAGGGTCTTATTTTTGGCGCACCTTTTGTCGAGTTAGACGGGTCAAGCTACATTAGTAGCTCCAACGGTTATACTGCCAAGATCGATTACAGTGGCAAGGGCTGGCTGTCTGGTAAGAAGAATAGTGTTATCGCTACTCTTTATCCCACAGGCAAGGAGAAAGAAGTATTATATAACGTTACAGGCCAATGGACCAAAGAATTTGAGATATATGAAGGTCCTGCCAAGAAGAACTCACCAGCCACATTGTTTGCTACATATGACGCCGTTGGCACCGCTCAGACTGAGCTTAACGTTGCCCATATAGATGATCAGTACCCTCTCGAATCTCGTCGGGCTTGGGCTAGAGTTGCGAAAGCTATTCAAGTCGGCGATATGGATGCGGTGTCCGTTGAAAAAGGAAAAATTGAGCAAGCCCAGCGAGATCTGCGAAATAAGGAACGATCTGAGGAGCGGACTTGGGAGCGGCGTTATTTTTCGTCCGTAGCTGAAGACCAGGTTCTGAAAGAGCTAGGCGATGCTGCTGGGATTCCTTTGAATGGTGAAGAGGATAAGACAGGTGGCCTATGGAGATTCGATGCAGAGAAAGCCGCTAAGGCGTCTGCCGAGAAGCTCAGCAACGAGCAAGTACAGGAGATTGAAAAAGAAGTGCTTGGACAGTAGACGCTTGGGTGTGGATAATACGAATCATCAAGCGTTTCGTTTTGCAGCTATGTCGCCTGCCAGATCTGTGATCGGAGACAAGGTACCTGGCTATCTTGCACCACATGTTGTGATTTTCTGTGGCTTATTCTGGAACATCCCGGTAGAATGCGGCATAATTGGCGACAGGCGAATACATCTCGCAAAATTCTGTAACTGGCCCTGATATTTGCACACGGCTGAGATGATCATGGGTTTCTCTATGCGTTTATTAATAAGTTGTTCAAATCATTGGGTGGGCATGGTGGATCATCTGGATGTTGTTGTAATGAATGTGTTTCTCGAGCACATAAATCAAACCAAGTCACTTTCTAACATTAGCCGATGTCGCTGAGTTTTTCAATTTATTTTTACTCCATTTTGAATTCAGCTGATAGTATTCTTAACTGTTTGTAGTCATCACGCCCCCGAACCGCCCCTACCACAACATAGAGAAGTTTTCGTATTTTAGGCAAGTACCTACACCTGCCCAGCACAGCTGAAGTCCTTAAGAGCCTCAGTAACACGGGCAGACATAGTTTTCTCTCCCTCGCGGACCCAAACACGGGGCTAAATCCTATACATTAGCAGCTTCTCGACCACGGAATGGAAGCATCAAGTACATCGAAAACAGATCGTTTGAAGGTTAGCACTTACATCAAAAAATTTCTTGTTGGGTTTATCTTCGCCATCGGGGTTGCCAACAGCAGTGAGGAGGTAGTCCTTCTTGTTCAGCATATAGTCGCGGATGCCACTCATGTAGGCAAACTGCATATCAGTGTCCATGTTGACCTTGACGACGCCGTGGCTGATGGCATCGAGGTACTCTTTCTTGCTGGACCCAGAGCCACCGTGGAAGACAAAGTAAACAGGTTTGTCCTCCTTGGACTTGATGGCTTCCTTGACGTGAGCCTGGTGCTTGCCGAGCAGCTCGGGGTGGAGCTTGACATTCCCGGGTTTGTAGACGCCGTGGACATTACCGAAGCCAGCAGCAATAGAGAAATATGGAGAGATGGGAGACAAGGCGTTGTAGATGTTGAGAATATCCTCAGGTTGGGTGTAAAGAGACGCGTTGTCAACGTCTTCATTGTTGACGCCATCTTCTTCGCCACCAGTGATGCCAATCTCCATCTCGAGCCACTGCTTCATCGGAGCCGCTCGCTTAAGATACTTGGCGGTAGTCTCGATATTCCAATCGACAGGTTCCTCTGAGAGATCGATCATGTGTGAGCTAAACAGAGGCTCGCCATGGGCCTTGAAGTGAGCTTCATCAGCGTCGAGCATGCCGTCGAGCCATGGCAGAAGCTTCTTGGCGCAGTGGTCAGTGTGGAGAATTACTGGGATGCCGTAAGAGGGAGCAATGCTACGAATGTATTGGGCACCCGCAACAGCACCAGCGATGGAAGCGGCTTGGTCGGTATTGCTCAGACCCTAAAATAATGTCAGCAGCCTCGCAACAAAAGCCAGGAGATGGTACACCCACCTTGCCGCCGAAGTAAGCAGCACCTCCCTGCGACATCTGGAGGATGATGGGAGCTTTGGCATCGCGGGCAGCCTCAAGGGACGCAACCACAGTTGAGGATGAAGTGACGTTCTATTATCACATTGGGATCAGCGTTGTGAGAATATAGCGAGGAAGCACTAATAAATGCCGGGGTTCAACGCAGACGTACAATGGCGGGGACTGCAAATTGCTTCTCCCGGGCGTACTGAAACAGTCTCAGGACATCGTCTCCCACAATGACGCCAGACTTTCGGCTCAGCACGTCGGTAACGCCCATGGTCGCGGTTGTAGAATAAGATATATGAGTTGACTGTCAATTGGCGTTGTGAGAAAATGAGAAAGTCGACAGAGATGGGTAAGGATCGAAACGGAGAGGGTGTGAGCACTTCTAGAGATCGGGAGAAAGTACCAGTTTGGTCAGCAAATTGCTCAGTTTTTGGATGCTGTGGGATTGGAGGGGTAGATAAAGTAGGATGAAGGGGCGCGTGGGGTTTTCCGGTGTTTTCAGGTAGCACTGGGGCATCGCTATCGCTATCGCAACTTGGAGGGGCAGCCAGGGGGGGCACACTGGGCGTAATAAGAGGGCCGATGGTGCCTTGAGATTGCCCTTCCATCATTGATGTCTGGTCAAGCACACCAAGCAGCACCACTGGACCTTCAGAGAGCTCATGACATCAAGAATGAGGTCAGAACAATAGGTCTGGAGGCCGGCGACCGGGCGGTCCAAATATCCCTCGTTGCCAATTGGTGCGCCGAGTCAAGGACTGTTGACCATCTGAGGTTTGGCATTGGACTGACCCACGATTTTCAGGCTAATGACCGCATGGTAACATGCTTGAGCTATTATTTGATCGGTCCGTTGCGAGTGATGAAGCCGTTGCCCGAAAACACAAGTGCTGGTTCTAACTCCGTACTGTATGGTGGGTCTGAGGGGAAGAGGGGTTGGCTCAACACTTACACAAGTACCCAACAATGGAATTGGTGAAGAGTGAGATGTTGGTAGAGCGTTCGATGTTTCGATGTCAGTCTGGATGGATGATAGAGGGGAAAGGAACAAAGTCAGGAAGCCACATGGAAAAGAGAGGAGGTTGCGGGGCAGCAAATTTTGGGTTTAGGAAGTCGGCACGGGGCTCGTCATTCCCGGGAAAGCCTCCTGTTGTAACCGACGCTTCGGCTTGTTGGACGGAAACATGCGGGACATCTGAACAACCCAATCTCAGCACAGTTTCTAGGAAGATGTAGTATTTGTGTAGCGTTGCCGGGTGTACCACGGTTTACCACGGTACAGAGTGCGATGGCCGTGTATTCCTGCTAGGATATGATTTGTTTGCCTCCCGCTCTCTTGCAAGCGCCGGCGAGGGTGCGGATTCTGGAATTAGGGCGCACGAGCTTCAATGTTCTTACCTACGTCAGTAAGTACATACCTACCTAGGTATTTATAGTTCAACGAAGAGTCTTTCTAACTACTGCGCTGAGGCGCTGAGGGAAAGGTATTGATATTGAAGTTGAAATTTAAGCCTGCTTCGTCTTTCTTCCGCTCGAGCCAGGCTTGAATTTTGTACCGTTGACGGATAGCATGGAGGGCAAAGACCCTTTGGTTGGTGGTATCCGAGTCCCATCATGAATGGCCTGGTCTACATTTACAAGAACATTCTTCTGGCCCTTGCCCCCGCCCCCGAACGGAACAATTTCCATGTGCAATAGCCAGCGCCGTGATTTGTCTACGTGTGCCATACTACCCATATATTAAGTCGGGTAGACATTCTGCCGGGCGTCGACGGGCAATTGCTTCAACATTCGATGCTCGGCTCCCCCACCAAAGGAAGGCTCCAACATTGACAGTACTAGAGTCTTCCATCATTCCTATGCGAAGGCGAAACCACTAGTAGGGCATCAACTACGTACAACCCATGTTCCAACAAGTGAATTACAAATCTAGGCACCCATGTAGGTACCCAGATAAAGGTATATTCACCCAGAGTATGGTTACAGACGGTCAGAACGCTTGATTTTCCGCCAAGTCCAGCGGATCTACTTTCCTTTTGCCACGACAACATTGGAATGGTTGAACCAGTTGAACCCGAATGGGGAGATGGTGCTCGTAGGGTATGGTAATGCAATCTGTACCAGATATACCTAGGATATGTTTTTAAAGCCACCCGGAGATTTTGCGAGCATTTCCTATAATTAACTACACACACTAACATGATGCATTGTATGTGCATGATATGCGGGTCTGGCACCAGGCCTTATTTTTCGGCTGTCCAATAGTCTGAATCACGAGGCCGCTTAGTCATTCCGAGATTGTACCCGTTGACATCTCATAAGAATTGATCTACCTTGCCTCCAATCTCGCCATCTGGGCCTTGTGTCCAGTCCAGGATACAGTATGGCGACACCACAGACTTCCGCCTCGCTGTTCAGCCCCGACGTTCTCTTCGATAACCCGGTTTTCGCAGGCGGCATCGGTCTTGCCTCTATCGGCGCTGCCGCTGCCTTTGCTCGTAGGGGCGCTATTGTGGCCTTTGGAGCTGCTCGGCGACGACTCCTCGTCAACGTTGAGATCAGCAAACAAGATCCCGCCTATCCCTGGATCCTTGCTTGGTTATCTCAGCCGCGTGAGGCCGCTGGTTTCATCGCCTCCCGCATCACCCGAATTCACAATTTGTCTGTGACCACGACGACAACACACACAAAAGGCCCTTATGCTGGAGGACCTGTCAATGCCAGCTTTTTCCTCCAGCCCGGATATGGGCGACATGTGGTTAAATTTGGCAATGCATACATTGCCGTTAGCCGGGAAAAGCATAGCACAGCCAATATGAATACGGGTGAGCCCCACGAAATCGTTCAGCTGACAACGCTTTGGGCCTATCGCCATACTTTCGAGGGAATATTTGCCGAGGCTCATCGCTTGGCTGCTAAGGCAAACGAAGGGAAAACCATAGTATACTCGGCTCGAGGGATGGAATGGGCTCCTTTGGGTGATCCGAGAAAGAAAAGGCCGCTTGGTTCCGTGATCTTGGACGATGGGGTCAAGGAAAGCATTGTTGCGGATGTCAAAGACTTTCTCTCCCGCCAGGGATGGTATGTAGACCGTGGGATCCCGTACAGGCGAGGTTATCTCTTATATGGGCCGCCAGGAAGTGGGAAGAGTTCATTCATACAAGCTTTGGCAGGCGAACTTGACTTTGGTGTGGCCACAATCAACCTCAGTGAAATGGGTATGACCGACGACAAACTGGCGTACTTGCTGACAAAGCTGCCTAAGAGGTGCTTGTTGCTCCTGGAAGATGCGGATGCTGCATTTGTGAACCGTCGGCAGCGTGATGCTGATGGGTATAGTGGTGCAAGCGTCACCTTTTCTGGCCTACTAAATGCACTAGATGGTGTTGCGGCCGGCGAAGAGCGGATAGCCTTTCTCACCACGAATCACATCGAGCGACTAGACCCAGCACTGATCCGACCTGGCCGTGTGGACATGATGCTGAGGATTGGTGAAGCGACTAAATACCAAGCCGGGCAGATGTGGGATCGTTTTTATGGCGATGAGGACAACAGTGGTTCTAGGAAAGAGCACTTTCTACGTCGCCTGGATGAGTTAGGATTGTTTGGCACGAACCCCGATGGCACTCCTTCCAACCGGCGGACGAGTACAGCGGCAATTCAGGGTCTGTTCTTGTTCAACAAGAGCAATATGCAAGGAGCCATCGACATGGCTCAAGGGTTGATTCCCCGAAACTTTGAAGAAGAAGATGCAGCTTCTGATGCAGCACACAAATGATTTGACCAATAATTCATTGTGATTTCATTATTATAGGGACGGGAACGCGTGAAGAGCGCAGCTGGGGATATTTGTATAGCATAGTGATACCCCCTAGAAAACCAAGCCTAGATGTACTATTATTTAGCATTGAGAATGATGTGGTGTAGCCTGGGAAGGCATTGATGTAGAGACAAAATTGAACTTGTCTCCATAGGATTAAGAGATGGAAGTGTCGACTGTAGCATGTAAACTAGAGATCAAATTCGCCAAAAACGAATGACAATAATCTCTTGTTGGCGTTGCTGCACTCAGCCATTTATAGTTGACGGGACAATTGTCTGCTGCGACCACACTGTAGACTAGAGCGCTGCCTGAATGATGAGGCGCGTGATGGCGCTTGGTAAGGTAGTAATCCCACTGTGGCTGAATGATGAGCGACAAGCTGATGCCTGCAGTGCTAACGTCGAAGTCACACCGACCATAGAAACGTATCCAAAATCTCAACTTTGGCATAAAATTAGTATCACTTTTTTCTATCCCCAAGCATTTCGGGTTTCACCTGGCGCAAATCAGAACTGCCGCGCTATAAACGAAGGACACGGCTGCCATGTCGCCTGCGGACCAAGGTATCGTGGACCACTGGGTATCATCCACCAAATCGACCACCGTGCGAAGGGCTTCGCTCAACTCAACCTCACGACCTTCTGTTTCCATGTCTGGACAAGCACCGAGGTACGACCAGAGTTCCAGGCAGAACCAGGATCTAGCAACGGTGGCCCAGGAAACGAGGATTGTATTACCCAAAATTTTACAGAGGCTTCCCAACATACAAGCAGCAAAGTCCGAGGCCCTGTATCTTAGCACCCTGTCACCACTCAAGGCTGCAGAGTGCCCGCGTCGCACTCCGAGTCGGAAAGTCGCCATTAAAATAGTAAACGACGACTCATTCAATGCAGCCATCAAACTTACCGCCTCGAAAGGTGTTGCATCAGCTGGACGGGTTGTCGTGCTCAACATGGCAAGCCATGCGAATCCCGGCGGGGGATGGCTGAAAGGAGCCAGAGCCCAAGAAGAAGCGCTTTGCTACCGCAGCTCCCTATCGTTATCGCTTCATCGCCGCTACTATCCGTTTAAGCAGCTCATGGGCATATATACACCCGATGTTGTTGTTATTCGTTCCGACATGCCCTCTGGCCATAAACTCTTGACCCCCGACATTCCGGTGCAAGACCTTCCAGTAGTGAGCGTGCTGAGTATTGCGGCTCTGCGATGCCCCGAAACAAAACGCTTCCGGGGCAACACACCATCAGGCAACGTCTTTGAAAGACTAGCATACGCAAACCCCGCAGACCGGGAACTGACCAAGGCTAAGATGAGGCTTTGTCTCAGAATGGCGGCACGCAGAGGTCACGGCTTGCTTGTTCTAGGCGCCCTCGGCTGCGGCGCGTTCAAGAACCCAAAGGAGGAGGTTGCGCAATGCTGGCTTGAGGTTTTACGCGAGACTGAGTTTCAGGGAGGCTGGTGGGAGGAGTTATGGTTTGCCATTTTTGATAGTCGGCAGGAAGGGAATTTCGAGGTGTTTGAAGATGTTTTGGGAGGAGTGGAAGTGTAGGTGCACTTTGTGCAAGCCAGAATGCAAACAATCATTAGCTTTACGACCCCGAGGATATGGCAGTTATTCATGTAAGTCTGGCCAACGAATTACCTACCCAGGTAGGCAGGCACATCGGTGAGGCGCCCGATGTAATATGTGTTGGGAGGATGAAGCCATTGTGCCAAGCTGTATCGAGTGTCAACTACTCACTCCGTTCATATTTCTATTGACCCTTCAGCTATGGTAAAATTCCAAGGTTCGGTTCCCGTTTTTACGTACGGAGGACCCCGACGTCGAATCGATATTTCGCTTTTCGTTTCTAGGTTGCAGGTGGGTCTGATGGTTGCATTAATCTGAGATCAGTTGACGAGATCTGAGCCCTGGCAGCGACGAAAGTGGTTAACCGCTGTTCGGAGCAATCGCTGGCAGGCACACCCACCAGACTCGATTGGTGTCGGCCTTTGACCATTTATAACCAGATTGACAACATTCGAGCCCTTAATAATCCAGTATTGCTTCTACAACATCGAGCAAACCAGCTCCGTTGCCCCACACCATTTTGATCCCATTTTGCGTCCCGCCGTGTTAGTTGAAACACTGCGTTATTCCAAAGCCGAACACAAGACAACCGTTGACTTATGCAATTGCAGAGCCAATGGGCGGGCCACCGCCTCGGGGCCACCGCCTAGTCCGTTCTTTATTAGTCTGCGCACGCCGACTCGTGGCGCCTCTCCACGATGACGTGATGAGATGAGCCAGGCCCAAAAAGTCACGCATTTCACGGCTGTTGTTTGATACACCGCATCGAGTTAGAAACTTACGGTCCTTCCGTTGTTCTTCGGAAGAACGTACTGTAGTAATTTTAAAATGTCAGTATCAAGTTATTAACCCTCATCCCTGGAGCGGCTGCCCACTCCAAACCCATTGGGGCCTTCGTCTAGGCGGATCCGAGCATGGCGTCCCTTCAATCTCTGCGCTCTATGTCGCCATTTCCTCGACTCCCTGTTGGCTGATCCATTTCCTCAATCGCAATCACGGTGGCGCAGGTCCGGGCCGCAGAGTCAATTGGTGCAGTCAGAAATCATAAAAGTATCAAGCATGTATGTTAACCGAATCCGTCCATTCGAGAGACGAGGGACCAGAACAAGCACGTCAGACAGGACCAGTTGGCTTCAGCACCTAGGCAAAAAAGGGAAAAAGGGACTCCCTACCCAGGCCGTTTTCCCATCTTGCGATTTCCCATCCTTTTATCTTCTTAAGCTGGGCTGGTGGACCTTTTTTTTCCTTTTCTTCCCCTTTACTCTTTTGTCCCTCCCCTCATTCGTTTCTCTCCCGTCCCATCATCTTCACCTGCCAGGAATATTATCTCTGCTTCTGTTCCTGCCGCCTCCTCTCAAGTCTGGTGTGTTGCTCCTATACTAGAGTCAAGCCCTGTCGACCCGCCTGGGCGACGGGCGCCAGCCAAGGACAAACCAGCCATGTTTTGGAAGGACAAGTCTGCCGAAAAGAGCCATGCCGAGCCTCATCCGAGAGAGAGCTCGGCCGATAATTTTGACGACGAGGTAGAAAACACGCGCTTCAACACATATGGTTCGCCTCATGATATTAGTGACGCCAGCCTCATTGACCCCGACTCGGGAGTCAAAAGAGGTCTTAAAAACAGGCACCTGTCAATGATGGCCTTGGCTGGCATCATTGGCCCTGGCTTGTTGGTGGGCGCGGGTGGCGCTCTGAATAACGGCGGCCCAGCGTCTTTAATCATTGGCTTTGGGGTTATCGGTACGTTGTTTCTTGCACCTGCGTCCGAGCCGAGCCTATCCGTGTAATGTGTTGGGATTACTTCGTGCTGGCTATGACAATTACGAGCGAGTTGGGAGTCGCGCAAACCCGGCTAACCGGCTCCGCGCCTCACAGGTGTCATTGCCTTTGCAATCATGCAATCCCTCGGGGAGGTGACGACGCTGTTTCCAGGAGGAGGCTCATTTGTTTCGCTGGCGGAGCGCATGGTTGACAAGTCTTTTTCCGTTGCTGTGGGATGGAATTACTTCATTATCTGGGCTGCCGTGCTGGCCAACGAATACAACGTCATTTGCAGCATCCTCACATACTGGGCTCCGCAAGTACCACTGTGGGGTTTCTTCCTCATCCTTTGGTTCCTTTTCACTGCCTTTCAGCTGTTGGGCGTGGAAGCTTTTGGCGAAGCTGAATTCTGGTTGGCTCTGTTTAAGATCTTGGGCCTGACTGCCTACTTCATCTTCTCCATCGTGTATGCCGCGGGCGGTCTGGTTGGTCAAACGGATTCGCTGGGATTTAGGTATTGGCACGACCCTGGAGCCTTCAATGGAAACGGATTCCGAGGCGTAGCGGTCGTCTTTGTCTTCTGCTCTACGTTCTATGCTGGTATAGAATCCGTCGCTGTTGCCGCAACAGAAACAAGAAACCCCGGTGTTGCTGTCCCACAAGCGATCCGCCAGGTGTTTTGGAGAATCATTTTCGTTTACATGGGATCAGCGCTATTTTTTGGCATTACTTGTCCCGCCAATGCGGATGGCCTTGTCAACGGCGGCGCCAAGGCACTGCAGAGTCCCATGACAATCGCAATTCAAACTGCGGGATGGAATGGAGGTAAACCAGCCCATAAACTACCCTCACGATGACCCAATGATGATACCATGCTTACCGTGTCGCATCAGGCGTCCACCTTGTCAACGCTTTCATCCTAATCACCTGTTTGTCAGCCATCAACTCGTCAATTTATATCGGATCGCGCACCATTTTATACATGGCTCAGTCTGGTAAAGCACCGAGGTTTATTGGTCGGACCAATAAAAAGGGGGTGCCTGTCTGGGCAATTGTGCTCACTAATGCTGTTGGCTCTATATCCATGATGAACGTTTCTACTGGTGCGTCCAAGGCATATGGATACATTGTTAACCTTTCAGGTGTCAGCACCTTTCTGGTGTGGGGTAGTATCAGCTTTATTCATATTCGCTTTCGGCGAGCTTGGACTGCTCAGAATCGAAGTTTGGACGAAATTCCATTCAAAAGCATGTTTTACCCATTCGTCGCATACTTTGGCTTAGTTGCCAACGTATTCCTCGCCCTTGTTCAGGGATGGACGACACTGTCACCCTTCAATGCTGGCAATTTTGTCGACGCATACATTCTTTTACCGCTCTTTGGGTTGATATATCTTGTGGGGAAGCTGTACTGGGGAAATGACGACAAATTTAAGCGTAGTTGGGAAATTGATCTCGACAGTGGCAGAAGAATAGATTTGGATGGTAAAGGGATTATGCCTGAAGATGAAGCTTATATTGAAACTGGAAGAGCTTCTATTTGGAGAAGAATCTGGAGTTCGCTTTGATCATACAATTTTATATTTACTTTAGGGGCGCATGGACGTAGAGTACATGTCGTAGCTTCCACACCTACGGCAACGAAGCTCAAGTTCAATAATCGGAGACAAGAAAGAGAGACAAAAGACGCAGTAGCCTAACAGGTTTTGACCTATAAGATGGACAGCCGCGCGCAAGACTTTCCAGTATCCAATGGCTTGGGCGGTGTCTTCTTGGACCTCATTTGACGATAGTTCCAGCGGGCCATTAATTTTGGACGCCGAGGCAGACGATTTCGTCCAGCCCACTGCCAGTGGCTGCGGACTCCTGGCAGCTCCCATTATATTCCAGGCCGATCCGATGAACCTCTGCATGCAATGCTTATGTGGGAACCATTTGACCTATTTCCCCGTTTATATATAGTTAAGGTAATATTTCATTTTTACTACCTTTACGAAGGAATGGTTTTCGGTGACGCGTATGACTCTGATAATTTCTGCGCAAGGATCTTGACGAGCTCAGCTTTTATCTCTCAAAGATATCTCGCATAAATGACAGATCAAAGGACCGTTGATAGTCGCTAGAGCTTTGTCATTGAGACCCCAATGAAAGCAAATTTAATCCCTAGGCTATTAGGGGCAATGTCTGGTGCCTTCTTACTGACCTTTGTCCCCGTGTACGCAATAGGTAGTATCTAGGTAGGTAAGCTCTTGTTTGATACCGCTCCAACCTCTCATGAAATCCTTATAGTTCAACTGCTAAGTATTCGATGATAAACGGTATAGCGGCGTCAAGGATTTCATGTGTATTTTACCGTCTTCCTGTAGAGATATGATCTCGACCTGTTTGCCACCCTTGTTGGGGCATCATGGCGAAGCTCTAGACTGACGTGGCAGATATCTCTTCTAACCACAGCCCGCATATGGTCCAACCAGATACCCTCTCGGCCGAAAGTTTTTGGATCCTTACCGTAGTCTTCTTCAATGACCCATTCTTATTGCCCGTGTCAGCATTATTTTCTTGTATCCCCCAAACTTGGTACATGACTATCGAGGGCTGGAGTATGACCCGTAGAACACACCTGAGCCGCGAGAAATAGTTGACATATACAAGTCTGGTGGGTGGCCCAATGAGCCAACAGCACAACACTAAAGAAGTACGAAGACCACAAATACAGGGCTCGAAGCCTGTTTTGGAAGGAACTTTGTACACCGAGAAGCCTACAACTACTACTTCTATGAGTTCGGTTACCGAAAACTTCATAATTTCCTATCCTAAGAGTATGGTTTCCTAGCAATTCTAACCGATTGCTATGACTAGGTATTACCTAATTAGGTTATTTCCGTTGTTCCTCACAGATAGCAGGCTAGATCAGGTCTATTTGTACAGGCTGGGGCTTTATAGCAACTTTTGCCTTCGAGGGTTGTTTTCGACACCGGCAATCTCAGGAAAGCAGCTTTCAGTATGGCTGCGGTTATATCCAAGAGAAATGAGAGAAGCGCAATCACAAACAGTTTTATGTGATTTCAGAGAGCCAAAACATACCATCTAGCTCACAACGGACCCCTTTTCGTAATTATTTTGAGCCAGAAGCTCCTCGGATTCTGCAACAATAATAAGCAAACTGTCTTGGTTCAGAATGCATCCCAGGATACGACGTATGGCGCTCAACAAACATGG